TTATTTGAAATCTACTCATTGTTTTTTATTTGGTCAAAAGTCATCTTTAGAATTTTACTATTAAAAACCTTCTCTACATCATATAAGCGATTGTTGGGCATATTGGTGTAATGTATACCTTTTTTCGTTTTTGCCCGTCAAATAGTCAATGTTCCGGTGATATCGCTTTCATGACGTCCTGAATACAATGAAAAATCTATATATTCAAGAAAATTCTAATTTGGAAACGACTGTGCTATCGTCACTACCGTAGAACCGAATAGATTCAAGAAAATTTTGAATATACTCTAAATACTGTACGACCTATCCTCAACAAGTTTGGATGGTGTTCGCACATTAAAGCTGTACGTATGAACAATTCGCAACCAGACTGCGCGCTAAAATTGTACATGGTTTATCGGGGCGGTTCGTACGTGAAAGTACCTGTTGGCATGAGTTGGATTTGTACGAAAACGCATCCGACGTGAGCAGGCCCGTCGCTAGAGTACAAACAAGTCATGGGCTGCAACCGCATTGGGTCCCAAATTTAAAATTACTACACTAGTTGGGTCCTGAATTATTTTAGATATATACTAGTTCCTGAATATTTTTTGGTAATTATTACATTATACTAACATTTTCCTTCCTATTTTAACAGAATTAGGACTGTTTATGATCTGTTTAAACCACAGGACCACATTTTTTAAAATTTTTATAATTTATATAATATTTTTAAATAAAAGTAATGGAGAGTTAGTATAGTGTGATAAAAATATTGTATAATAATATTATACAATTTTAGTATTTTTAATATTTTTACAAACACAATTCTAATAATTTATATTTTAATGGAAAAGAAACTATAAAAAAAAAAACTATAAAAAACATTTTTCACCATACCTATGGTCTAAATAGAACATTGATAGTCCTAAGTCTGTTAAAATAGGAAGGAAAATATTAGTACAATGTATTACCTACTTACCAAAAAATATTCATGAACTAGTGTAGTACCTATAAAAATCCGGAACCCAATTAGTGTAGTACCTATAAAAATTTGGGACCCAACTAGTGTAGTACCCATAAAAATCCGGAACCCAACTAGTACACTACCTGCGATCAGCCCTAGTACTCGGGACCAGTGGTGTATTTACGGGGGGGGATATGGGGGATAGATCCCCCCCTTGACCTTTTTTTTTTTCCTAGGTAGCTATAAGTTGTCTCATTTTCTCTAATATTCTTAATATGATATTACTTTCAAGCATGTATGTTTTCTGTTTTCTAAATGTTCTAGTCGTGGTAATTTTACCGCTCTGATAGTCTGATATACTAATCGCCACTAATCGTTTATCGTTGGCGGCATGTACGACTATCAGGCAACAAAAACTATACCTATATTATGGTGTACTGTAGTTTGTACGTTTCTGCGAATTATTTTTCATGCAAGAGTGTTTATAATAAACCCGATAAGCAATCGGTAAACAAAACAAAATGACCATGAAGACCGTGGATTAACCATAGGGCGGCCGGGCGGGTTTATTTTTAGAAAATTTGTTACTAGTAGATTTATGGCTAATGTATAGCTATATATATATATATATATATTTTATCGTATGATATCGTGATTCGTTAAAAGTAGATATGTACGGTCGTTGGACGTTGACGGATAGCGACGCCGCGCCATTCGGAGTACTGACTTACTGCCGAATCGACTATTGTTCGACTTTATTTTTTGCGTCTTGTAAGTTGTAACTGTGAAGTTTTAAGACAATATGAGTAATACTCAAAAACAAAAAAAAAACTTTATTTTCTTATTTTAGTACAAATAAAAAAATTTGTTTGGAAAATGATGAGGTAATTATAAAGATTAATTCTTATTTTGCCTTGATCCACACTAACCTCAATAGGTAACAAGTTAGGGGATTTTAAAAATGTATATTATGTACGAATTTATGGGTGTTAGGATGTATTATTATATATTTCATCCCCCCCTAGCAAAATTCCTAAATACGCCACTGCTCGGGACCCAACTCGGATGCTCCGAAGTCATGCATTGCTTTGGGGCGGCATACAATTTTGAAGAAATTAAAGTAACAAAATTTAATGAATATCGACAAAAAACGACAATAATTACTGTTATCCATCGTTACAGTTATCGTAGCTCCACCAGGTCAATGCGACCGTTATTTATTGCAGCTTATTATAATTCCTATTTATAAAATATTTCTAATAAAAGAGCGACCGTACAATTTTCGCTTTAACAGGTTAACTGCCAAGTTGTCAAATTTGTCCATCCGGCCATGATACCTATATCTGAATTTCACCCAAATGCTCAAAACAATTTTTGAGATCCATTTGGGGAACTCTCATATAGTTCATTTTAATAATTGAGATCTCGAATCGGGTCTCATATATCACGGTAAATTAATCATGATTAGATTCTATCGTATTTCTAGTTTTATTATATCTTACGACGGGCCTGGACGCGAGCGCTGATCGTACGTTACCCACGACGTGTTTGCACAGGCACAAACACAACCGTGTAGCATAACGTGTTGACTTACGGAGAAGGATGACGAAATAAATCGGATATTTCGCGTGCGTAATATCGTAGCACAGACGACCTTGCGAACGAATCGCCCCGGCACGACCAATAATCGAATTCCGCCAAACGATTACAGCCGTGTCAACGTGCAAACCTATCGACGACACGTTGGGCCCACGTGCGCCGGCCCCGGATCGAACGTGTGTAAATAATGATCGATATTTTTCAATACAATACCGTACTTATCGGCATGCGTGTATTGATCTAATATTATTGAACGCGCACCACACTCTCGCGCGCACAGAAATAACGCGGTTTGTTTTATTGACTCGGCACTGTTTGTCTCCGATAACGGACGCGCGCGTACAGTAGATAAGAAAAAAAAAAACGGTTATTGTTACAATTTTTTTTTCCTTCGTTACGAACGTGTTAAAAAATCGTCCGATCGTGCGCACACAAACGTATTACCCGCGCGCATTACCGAGTTATTAAAAACATAAACTGCACGACAAACAGCACCGCCGGTCGTGCACACAACGGAGTATAATACAACAACATCATTGAGAGTACGCTTATATAGGTTAATGGTGTACAATGTAAATACTAAACGTGCGCATCGTATAAATGTGGATCGACACAAACACGGCGGTATCCGTAACGCAAACAGAAAATTATAATTATTATTGATTTCAGGTTTTCTTTTTTTTTTTTTTCACCGCCCCGTCGTTCTTCCAACACGACCGTCAAGCACAATATCGACTCGATTACACATATTACTGTCGTACGAACACGTGGTATATGGTTATCTATATTTATACGCGGGCGTGCGTGTGCGGGAATTTATTGAAAAAAAAAACTAATCGATAAAAGGGCGGGCAGATTTGTCAACAAGGCGAGGCCACGCGAGCGACGACGTGCTCCGCTTGGAGTGTAAACTCCCGTCTAGTATTTAATAAAATATTATAAGAAGGTTGCGTTGTACAACGCACGCGCTTCGGCGTGAAACCTACAATAATCGACACTACTGGAATCAAATCTAACAACAATTTAAGCAACATAACATGCGTTAATAATTGTACACGTATCACCAATGTCACCAGTGGCACCATACATAATCAACTGATCGATTAACAATTTTTTAATTTTTATTTAATACATCAGTCATGGTTTACCGGACCTCACTAAGAATAACTCGTGCGGATGCCTAATTGTACTATAGTACATATATATTAATGTATTTCCTTAGCACAGGGGTCGCCAACCTTTTCAAACAAGTGAGCTACATTTGACATTTAAGTCCCTGGTGACCGACATCCAAGAGAATTTAGGTCTTTAGGAAGATATCATATTTGTTTGATGAGCAAAAAAAAAAAATCTAAGCTCCGAAGAATAATTTTTTATTGTTTTTTCATAATAATAATAATCTAATGTTCCCATTATACGATTAATCCGATTATTTTACGTGATCCATCGATAATGGGGTAAAATTAAATTTTAAAACGATCGACTTATATCCCTAAAAATATCGACTGATTGGCGAACCCTTGCGTTAGCAGAACATTATTTTTCCCATACGTTATATTATGAAAATATTATAAATAATCTCATGATTTTCGATGATTTTTAATTCGAATATTAAAATAATAACATTCAATTGCATACATACCTCTGGAAACGAGTGCAGTGTAAAAATATTCAATCAAACGTGACGTGGACCGCCACAATAAGTTACACGATTAATGATATGTTTTCCCTAGAAAAAAAATGCTCATGATACTGTATAATGATGATTAACTTTGATGTTGATCCTTGGGAAAAATTTTCCTGGTTTCATTTAGCTACCGCACAATTTACAATAAAATTACGACTCCTGATTTCGTTTGTAAATTATTTTTTATAAGAGATGATTCGAGAATATTCCGACTTTTTTCGTTTAGCGTTTTCAAAATCAATCAAACTTAATACAGGTCGTGTGAAAAATTGTAATATTTTCTTATAGTTATTAGGTGATCCATTCGTTTTTACTCGTGTTCACGGGTAAGCACCTATTGATGGATTAGAAAGAAAAAAAATGTTATAGATGAAATGAGAAACAGTTTTAATATTATCGCAACAATTATTTATTTATATATATATATATATATGTATTTATAATGACCAAATAAGTTTCCGTACATAAATTATGCAATGTTTTATTTGTCGTTTAACATTTATTCAACAGCCGTGTGGTCTTTTTCGTTTTCATCATATGTACAACTTAAAAATTACAAAAAAAGTTATTTGTGACCCGGCGGCGCGGCACTCGTTTACAATATAACATTCTAACAATAAAAATATAAACAAATAAAATTCGCGTAATGACTAGTCTTTCGTATTTTTAAAATATTATTAAAGTTTGTTTTTAATAACTATCATATAATAATAATAATAATAATAATAATAATAATAATAATAAATAATAATAATAAAATTAGCCTAGGATTTTTTTTTTTGTTCTTTACAAATGAATAATGTTTTTTCTCCGAGTAATGTATACATAAATGAATAGACTATGTACTCTAAATATCGACAAAACATCATATCATTATTAATAATAATAATTTATGTATTTATATAGTTTATAAATATTTGTTTAACCAAACGAGAACGTGGAGGGGGACATGGTTTATTACGGGCCACACGCGTACACGAACGGGATCCCAACGCCGTAAGGGCCGTACCGACGGTATAGGATTGAAAAGTAAAATAAGAAAAAAAAAAAAAACGATTTAACTATTTAACAATAACATGTTTTATAATGCCGCCAATGATCGACACCGACTCGCGACGTGTATGCACATGAACGTAATATACACTACGTACAAGCGAGTTGTCGGGCGCGGCACGTTGCGAGTTACGTGTTACGATGTGATAGATCCGTTGTTGTTTGGTGGTCGCGGAAAAAACTTGGACGCGAAAATAATCCTCAGACGAAACGCGTGTGCCGCGCAATAACGTGACGCAGATTTTACGCTCGCCCGTACAACGGAACACGTACCGGTCCGGGGCGATTTTCGCGATTTTCGCGTGCAACACGACCGTACTGTACACCGAAACAACGTTATTGGACTTGGACTCGGTCACGTTCGCACGGGGGTCGGAAGGTTATACTAAAAAAATGTTACGCGTCGTTCGTATATGTTCACGGTCGAGCCACGCTCGGGCACTCCGGTGAACGACCAAACAACCCCCGATGGGCGCGGTGCACGACGACCGCAGCGGAGGAAATCATAATGTTGTCATTAAACGTTTGCGAATACACAACAGCCTACACCTAGGTGGGTACTACACACGTGTGCAATGCGCGGCCGTATTAGGAAGACAAGTACACTGTACAGAGAGTGGTCGTGGTGGCGACCGTCGTACCGCGCGGCTATTACCACCACGTTCTGGGCGTCTGGCCGTGCATCAGCGGGTGCGAGTACGACGGCAGCACCATTTGCTCGGATTTGCCTCCACCACCGCCGCCGCCGCCGCCGCCGGCCGCTCCGGGCTGCTGGTTGGTGCACGGTTTGCCGTCCCGCACCAGCACGGGCACGGCCACCCGTCTGGGCGACGACAGAGCGTTGGCCGCGGCCGCCGCGTGATGGTCCACGTGCATGCCCTTCTCCTGCTGCGCCCGTTTCGTCTTGTACCTGTGGTTCTGGAACCAGATTTTCACCTGAAACAACGCGGTGAACAGGCACAAGTTAGACCGGGAAGGATACGCGTAAAAACAACAAAGCGTAAACGTACTCGAAAGCACAAACGTTTTACGAGAACGATCCGATTCCATCGAGTTGTACTCGTATGTACGGATTACCGTTGCATGTTCTGTTTTATAAACATTTTAACGCATATTGTGCCTACTTGAAAGAAGTAGTGAAAAAGTTTTATAATCGATATTATTCATCTTTTGACGCGGTTTATGCTCGGTTTATTTCCGTTGTTAAAAATATGAACGAATATAATACATACCTTATATATAACCTTTTTATTTTTAAAGAAGAAATATACAATCTGTATCAGTAGACATAATAAGTAGAATGAAATGAAAAATAACAGTGAAGAAAGAAGCCACCCAAATGACACTTACATTTTGAAAGTTTTGTAGATTAAACAGATTTTATTTTAATATAAATATATTTAATTTTTTTTTTTTTAATTTAATTGTTAAACTATTGTAAAAAATGTCTGCACCACTTAAGTTTTATCAAAATATCAGTTGAAATGTATCTAGTGAATTTATATCTGTTCCTAACACAAATATCTGTGTATCTAAGAAGAACATTTTAGTTTACTACGTTCAATTTTAACATAACGCGTCTTTATTTTCACTTAAACCTCGTAATTAATTTGATTTGTTATATTTTCTGTACATAGATTATAGAACCGATTGTCTGAATGTGATCTGATAGTGTAATCTAGCAGTCACACAGTGGGCCAGAATATGACAATAGTCGGCCAAAACCCATAGTAAAAGTTATTAATAATAAATGATTACTTTATGATATTCTATCATCTACATGTTTATAAATTATAAAATAAGTATCTATTACGTAATCAGCGCTCGATTGCTCAAGACATTTATGATTATTATAGTGTCTTTTCATTTGATTCTATAGTTTGCTGTCTGTTATTTGTTGAGCATTTGGCTGTAAATAGTCAACGATATATATATATATATATATATTGTTTTTTCATGTATTCGTCGAAAGTTAGCATGTAATTTTTATTAATTATAATAATTTAATTACTTTTTTTTATTAAATAACTAGCCTTTAAAAATGTTCTTTGTTGAATTGTATACTAGTATACTTTATTTAACAGAATTTATGTTTTTAGTCTTAGCAGCTCACGTCACTTAAACTGAATTATTTTATTTTAAATGTTATTATATAAAAATTGGTAAAGAGTGTTTTTGCCTTTAGTTGCCTATTTATACATTATACCTCCTTAAAGTTGTAGTCGATGTTTTGTTGGTATATCTGAATTATTATGGAAATTTGTGGGGATCTTTTTGAATATTTGTAAACAATTGAAGGTGAAAGTAATTAAAAAATTGAAAAAGTGCAAAGTTACTTATATAAGATATTTGGATTTGAACACTATTCTGACGATAATTTGGATTTTATTAAATAAATCATACGTATCATATCGTATATCGATGGAAAAAAAGTAATAGGGTTAAGGCAATTTTTTTATAAAAATAATACTGAATGATTAAAAAAAACAATTTACAAAGTATCAGAAAATACCACTACTAATATCAATGAATTACCTTCTACGTCTAAAGAGGGTGGTCGCCCAGAAATATCTTTTGAATTGTGTAGTGAAAGATCAAAGCGTAGAAAAACGGAAGTTATACGAACACAAATTTTTAAATCCTAATTGAAATATGCTACTCCTATGACTTTACGATTATTGGGAGAAGAGGACGCTGCAAAACGTTTAAAATAATCTACTAATACTACTCCTACTAAGGCATCTAAAATAGGAAAGTGTTGGCAAAATAAAAAAAATAAATTTCACTCGCATGATCGAAGATAAAGTATTGTCTTTACTAATAAATAGTAATAGTAACTTATTGGATTAAATTCCAAAGAAAATTATTCTGATATGTACTCACCATATAATATAATAAAAGAAGCAAAAATACGGTGCTATTCGCCTAAAGAAACAATTCTTAAAGCTATGTCATCTGGCTATGAAATAAGGGAAAAAAATATTCAGTGAATACTCAATTGAAACTGCTTAATTGTTTATAAAATAATATCCTTGGTACTATATGCCAGACTCTGTACATAAGATATTATTATTTGGATAATCTGTCATTTCTGTTGCTTTACTTCCTATTGACCAAATGTCTAAAAAAGCATAGTAGGTTTGCAATAAAGACCTTAAAAATATTCGAGAAAAATATACTAGAAAATGTTCTAGGATCAAAACAAATGAGGATCTATTACACAAACTATTAGTGTCATTTGATCCGTTCATTTCTAGTCTAAGAAAATTACCCATCTAAAAATTTCATAATTTTCAACAGAAATATTGCAACTACTAGCTGCAGTTGAACCGATAATACACGGTTTTGTATAAAAAAAATTCAGGTAACGAAAATTAACAAAATTATGGTTATTGTTATATTTTGTATATTTTAATATTAATTATTAATAATTTAAAGCGTTGTTATGTCATATTGTAATTTTTAATTTAAACATATTAACATAATTTGTCTTCTTTATTTTAAAAAAATAATAAGCATTTAATAAGGTTCACTCATGAATAAATAATAAATTTCCAAAAAATCCGATTTAATTTAAAATAATCCAATTTAGGATCCAAACACTGAATAGTAAAAAATATCATTTAAATGAACAAAAATGTATATGATAAAATATAATAGACCACTTTAAATTTAAATTTATGTAAAAATCAAATTGTTTTATTGGGTAAGGTAGTGTTTTGACCATCTATTTTCATTATCCGGTCGACAGCGTGTCGCAGTGAAAAGGAATTCATTTTCAATATTTTCAACTGTCAAAAATACGTTTGTTTACAGTAAATCATTGCATTTAAACTATTTCACTTTTGAAAAACACACGAAATGATATTTCAAACAACGTACACACGCATATTCACGACCGGGTCCCCCAATTTTTGCGGCAGCCATCGCGCACAGGACGTTTTCCCTTGGTCCACGAAATCGGGTTAGGAAGGGCGCCCTTCTATATAAATTCGGTTCCCCTTGGTTCGATCATGTTGCACAAAAACTGCGGTTCTCACACGCACTTCACTGAATCGCACACATCATCATGACAACCGACATATATTTGTTACTCCGTGATATATGCATTATTGTGTTCTACTGAAATATAGATCCTAAAGCGCAAAAATATCCATACAAAATAAAGCCATGTGCATATAGAAGCATTTACGTATGTCTAAAATCCGGACTACCGATCGAGTTCTATAAAGCGACCCGCACTATATCATTTAGGTACTTTTAAAAGTCTAGTGGGCGCCACAAAAATTTGACATGGAACCGAAATACATAGTTCCCGTAAGTCCTGTGAGGTGCGAAGCCGTAGTGCGTCCCCCGTACAGCCGGACGACCAAAATTTCACGTGGTAATACATTCTTTTTAAAAAAATACAAACAAAAAAGGAGTAGTACTCATTCGAGTTTTAAGATCGCTAAAACTTCCACAAATGGGCATTCGAATCTCGCGAATAATCCTAGATTACGCCATCTTGTTATAAGTTCTACTTGATTTTAGTATTCCGATCGCAGTCTATATATTGCGTACGTTTAATGCGCGCGAAAACGTGAGTAAACCAACCTGGGTGGGAGTCAGCCGGATGATGGACGCCAAATGTTCGCGTTCGGGTGCCGACAGGTACCTCTGTTGCCGGAACCTGCGCTCCAGCTCGAACGTCTGTGCCTTGCTGAAGAGTACGCGGCGCTTGCGTTTCTTGTGCACCGTTCCGTTACCGTCGGAAGGGTGTCCGCCGGCACCGGACGAACCGGACCGGTCGTGATCTCCGCCTGCGGTCCCTGGCTCGTCGTCGAAATCGTCGTCCATCTCTTCGCCGTCCATCTCGGACGGCTCGTCCTTACCACCGGCCGTACCCGATCCCGGACCGCCGCCCACGCCGCCGCCCACGCTCACCACCGAAGTGTCTGCGGCCAGGCCGCTGGGCGTGCTCGACGTATCCGTCAGGTCCGTCACCCCCGGTGACGTGCTGTCCGGACTGGCTTGCTGAGTCCCGTGGCTCATGCCGAATCCTGAAACATTGAGACCGGCCGTTAAAGCGTGACATCACAATCATAATATGCTTGTTGTCTCCGTCCAACCGCGTTAATATTTTTGCAAAAATACTACGATAACCGCGGTATTCGGTCGTCTCAGAGTCGTTGATGCGGGGGCTGTTTGTAAGTGACATCACAACGATTTTAGCGCAATGTTCCGATGATACGGACGACCGTTTGCAGTACGACAGAAACACGACAGGGTCGCGAAAAGTTTAGAAAATCGTTCAGCTTTCGAAACGCCCGCGCGCGCAACATGCTGGTTTCAACGGCGATGAAGTACAAATACGCGTTCGCTATTGCAATTCGTGTAAAAAGTTTATTGAGAAGTTTATCGCTATCGATAAGACGTTGAGATTAACGTCGAAATGACAACGATAAAATATAATTCGATAACGACAGTCTCGAATCAAGGGGATAGTTTGGACCGTTTAATGGACCTGATTGAAGTTAGTATTCTATACTGTTTGGAAACTTTAGCGCATTCGATTGGTAAAATTAAAACCGGGAATTAGTTTGTCGTTTTCGCGGCTCGATTGATATGCAATCGTGTATTGCAGAGGTCATGAGGGGAAATTGTAATGCGTGGATTTAAATACGACGTGCTCCGTTTAAAAACTAATGCCATTGTAACAATATTTCGTACAAAACCCGTAACGAGTATATGCATATGGGCGTATCGGTTACACGCGTCGGGATGATTTTCTTTATACGCCCTTGAATAACCAAAGAATCGTTAAACGCACTAATCGTTCGTGATCCCAATGAGTACATGCAATGTATCACCGCATCATTGTGTCACGGCCGCGGTGATCTTTTACGCATCTGCTACACCCCTGTAGACTCTCCGCAGGATGTTTCCCGATCACGACATCGTTTTTCTTCAGTCTTTCGTTCTCCCTCTAGCTGCCCGTCTTCAATAGCATCTCTCATCTATACGCGCTGAACAATATGCATTATAGTCTCCGTATCCGTACACGGTTTTTTTTTCTTTTCGTATCAAATATTACATTATAGACGCGCGCTATCGATGTATAATAATATAATGATTGTACATAGGGGTGGCGGTGGGGCGCGCACACGAAATAAAGTATGTATTACATCGGAATACGTGTATAGGTAGGACGCGCGCGCGAACGAAGCGGTAGCAGACGCGAGGCCCCCGATCGACCATTTTGTCTCTTTTGTTACGCCACGCGAGTCGTCAGATTATCCGTGTACCTATTGATGTTATTTAGTTAAGAATAAAAAAAAAATAAAAAAATAAATCCCCCGCCGACCCTTCGGTGCACATGTACGTCTAGCATTTCCCTGCGCCCGGTCACATTCACTAAGCCCCCCGTGTAATTCGCACAATGGTCACCTTTGATCGGCCGTCGCGTCACGCCCTTTTGTCGCCAAACTCCACCCCGTGTACGTGCACGCACGGTCCCCGATTGTTTCTCTCCGTTTCTCTCCGTGCACAAGTACGGTGTAATAGCGCATGGGCGCGCGTACCTCACGACATACACCTATATGTACGCGTGTGAATAATAATGATGATAATAGTAATAATAATAATAATACAATGTGATGTGCGCGTAAGCGCGTCGCAGATGTTCGACACGAGTTTTAAAACGTCATACGATACGTATTATTGTATTATAATTGGGCCGGCCCGTGTTGCGTACGGCGTATAAGACGCGAGCTGATCGTCATCGGCGTGCATTATACCGCGTTTACCGCGCTCGTAGTTAAGCGAACAATCGTTTTCAACAAAAACGCGCGGTCGTTTGTCGTACGCTAATAACAATAAACACCGTGCTAAACAGCGATTCGTAGCACAAAAGCCGACCACTCGCACGCGCGTTTTTCTCGTCGCGCATCGTCCGAACAAAACGCGTGTAAATGCGACTTTTCCCCGTGAACAATATCGTAAACGCGCCTCGGGGGCGAAATCGTGTTATTACTGACCCAAGCGCGTCGAAGACGATTTTTACGGTGAATACACGCGTTGTCGAACACACGCGTGCGCCGACGACACATCGGACAGCCGCTGTAGAACAGCTGCGCGACGAGTCCGACCGACGGTTTGCCGTCTGATTTCGAACGCAATGCTAACGGTTATTCTAATATCACGTCCCGATTTACGCGCCACGACCAAGTCGCAGAATTTAGACGTTCGCCGTTTGTCGCGTGCGTCCCGAAGAGTCGATCGGTGGTTCTGTCGTTCAATGTCTAATATCTAAGGGTTTTGGTCCCACGACGTTATATACATTATATTTTAAAGTCCGTTGCATTCGAGCGAAGATTAGATTCTTTCAAAAACCGCTCGATGAGAACGAAAGAGCACAACAACGTAGGTCGTATATTTTTATATTGTGTGTGTGTGTGTGTATAGGATACTTCTGTTTTTAATAAAAACCATTGTCGGCTTTCACGCGCGCTAAACGGGAGAGAAAATCTGTTGCTCGCGGCGGGTAGAAAGGCGCGTATTTAATCCACTTAGAGGGAACGAGCTTTATACACACGCACACACACACACACACACAAGTCGTGTACGGGGTGAGCATGATACTATACACGCTACCACGACTACTCCTACTACGGTGGCGGCGACAACGGCGACGGGAGCCTTATTTAATTTGTAACCTCCGTTCTGCCCACCCACCCCCGTCCGTCGATCTCCCTTTTTTCACCACCCCCGACCCTGCTATCGCGTAACGGGTTTAAATTTGTTTTTTAATGTCTGACCGCCATTATAACACAACAGCGTAAACCCTGTACACATATATAATACTCTCCGGGAGATGTATACATTTGTTGTTCGCACTCGGGTGCCCTCCAACTCCGCTCTATCGTCCCCGTTCGAGCGTTGTGGATAGAAAAAATTAAAATTAAAACCATCCACGGACTCCATTGTCGTCATATTATAATGTACACACATTGTTTGATACGTTCGCGCGCCGCTCGCGGTTTTACACGACGAGATCAACTTTTTCGCGCGTCGACATTATATTGTACTGTACGTCATATAACACTGCTACATAACACTATATCACGCACGATTTGATCTTTCTACCGGCAAATGGATGGAGAAAAAAAAAGCTCGTTATACATTATTACATGCACGGTTTGCCTCGAAAACGGATCCGATTTAGGCATTAAACCATTTACGAAATAAAATGTCCAATCATCCGCATTACATATGCATGCGTAAAAGCAAATTTCGTCGCGTAAGTTATCGCGCGCCGTAATCGTCACGTATCGATCGCCGACGGCGGCCGGTTATTATGGCCGCAAAGTGCGCATCAACGTAAAAAGAATAATACCAATTATCGACGGTGTTCTTACCTCGGAGTTCAGTAAGTGATGTGGGCCAATGGTGTAACAGGTCGGCGGACGATTGCAAGATGCTGGGGAACTGGAAGCCCGAGCTGACGTTGTGCACGTCGGGAGCTGCTGAAAAAGTAATTTTGTTACAGTCGCGAAAAACACACGTAAACGACAAACCGCGCATTTCCAAATGTAAAAACGCGCGTATCGCAGTGCATTGTATTGTGCGAATTACCATTTATATGCGGGCCCAATGTCGTGTTCGTATTGTCCGTCGAGTTCACTTTGCCGTCGTTCAAGTCCAGTATGTCGCAAATGTGAAAACCCGACGGTCGCGTTTGACTGCTCGGCATTTTTATACTGTCCAAAAGTCTGAAACAAGACGTTACAAAAAAAAAAAATTGTTAGCATATTTGAAAAAAAAGTATTCAACTACGTATAATATTCTCGGTGAGTGATCGATAGAAGACCGTTATACATTCGTGATTTAGGGAAAAAATAATATTTTACATTTTTCAACCGTTTACAGTTTTCGGCCGAGCGTTATAAGCGGCGGTCGTCGACTTAACAAATCCCAACCCCTTCCACGTTTAACATCGTATCACATTATGTTGTTTTGAACATTTTGATGGTACGTGTTACAATCGATCATTTTTTAATATTTATAACGTATAAACAACGTGTTCACAGTCCGTCCGCATTCAAGCCGATTGTTGTTCGGACGGAAGGGATTCCATCCCAATATTATGACTCGTTTTAGAAATCTGCGTTTTCCGGCTCAGTAAGTGGATTGGCTAAATATTTCGGCCCGGGAAATCACCGTAAGACCAGCCCACCATCCAATAATAATAATTTTCCATAAAAGTCTCGTATATTCATGGATTAATTGCTCGTAGAACTGTTTACATCACGTTTACACTAGGTTTTTATCACAATATTACAATTAAATACAATATACTTAAATAAATTATTTTTAATCCAAGTACATCGACCCAGTATTATAATATGACTACCGGCTCACCGGGAACTTTCCCGGTAGCCCGGCGGGCCAATCCGCTGCTGAGTGAGTGTGTCCGTCGGACCGGGGGCGACGCCTGTGCATCACATTCGTACGGTTTAACAAAAACTAAAACGTCGTGTGTGCCTGATATTGTACGGGAACGTCACGGGGACGAGAAAGGGTTGCGGAGGTCGGACCGTCGACGGACGCGGAGAGAGTTTCGACTAGAGCGTTTTGAACGGTCGGGACCTTATCGCAATGCGACGGTTAAATATTTTACGATTCAACACGTTCTCGCCGGTCTCGTTCGCGCGCGGGAGTGACGCTTGCGTCCGGTAAGTGGAACCAGGATGAAGTGTGATGCTACTAACAACGGTGTAACAAAGCGCAGTGGCGGCGCACGTTCCAATCGGTTCCTCCGCCGCCCCTGAGTGATACATCAGAGTGGCCACTCGTCGTACTGGTTGTGCTGTGGCGATGACACGCCGGGTTATCTTGCCGTCGGTTAATCCTCGGGAATGCCAAACCGGCACGTTCTTCATGCGCGAGTGCGCGCTGCAGTGCCCCTCGCCCACCAAAACCCCCTGGGACGGTTAAGTGGCAGAAACACCTGTTGCGACGACGGAGCTCTTGTACGAAGCCCGACACCCACGCGCACTCGAAACGACGGATGCACGTCTGGACCATATTGACCCGAGATTGCCACCGAAAGCGTCTTCGCGACACGCGTTGTACACGTAGAAGAGATGATATGTTACAACTGTTGAACGGTTCCGATGTGTACGCAGACCGGTCGGGAGTGGTTTTCAAACGTTTTCAGAGGGTTTTCCACTCCGTTTAGGTCGCTCATCTCTGCACCTCGTTACGGGAAAATGTGTTGCGTACAATGTTCGGTTCGAATCGACTTCGCCTAGAACCATCAACGGGTCACCGCAAACTAAATATCACGCGCTCGGTATACGCATGTTTGTTAATCACAACGAGACACTCGATCTTTTTGCCGGGTATTACTTCGAGTGCAATCCTCGGAAATGTTCAAATCATACGAAGCGGTAGCGAAATGAAGTACCTATTAATTTCGATAATCTCTCCACGGCCAAGTTCTGCCGGTGTGACTGTTTCAGTACGGCGTCGTATCTATCAGCGTGGAGCTTGCAACGGGAAACCGAAACAATGATTATGATTCTGAACGGAAACGAAGTTTTCCTGTTGCGGGTTTCCGCAAACCGACTCTTTGTGCTTTCGCACAATGTTTACACGGCCGGACGATTCCCCCCGATGTGAACACCCGTGTAACAAGGTTTTGCCAAACGCTTAGACCACATCGGTTAGGTCGTATAACGATAAAATTGGTTAGTAAATATCAGAACCGTGATTTGGATACCATGACGTTCCACGTTACCACTTGTTACCATAAAGTTGAATGACGTTGGTACAATAATATAATCGTTCGTTTTATTTATACGTAATTTTTACTGTCTTATCGTGTTAACTCGTTAATAAATGTTGACAGTTAAATTAATTATTAATTAATTTAATTAATGTTAATAGCGTAATTATCGTAGTTGTAACTTGTAATAGTTGTATTATAATTGAATATTGGTACAGTTCGCAAAAATAGCATACATTTTTTTTTTATCAAACATCAAATATATAGTTTGGTCGAGTTATCATATTTTGTGGTAACATAGTAAAATTCTACACAATATTCAACAAGTACACGGCGTACGGTGTTAGTGGAACACCACAGTAAGACCGCGGTGACCCATCCGTGCGTACAATCTTCCCTTGTTCACCGGCGGGCGAGTTTCGGAGCACGATCCCGTCAGGGACGCGTTGTTCACGGCGGAGTCACCGACTCGCGGTGCCGCGTAAACCTGGCTGCACTATGGACGCGACGGCGCACACGGCATGCGGTTTTTATTACGTCCCGGAGTGCGTCGGCGGAGATGGCGGCGGACGAAATTGCCGAAATTTATTCGGAGTCACGTACCCCGATCCGTACACGTGTAATGTATACGATTTATTATTATTATTATTATACACCGCCGTGCAGTGTGTTATGGACCGGTTGGAGGGTCGTGCGCTCTCTATAACGTCTCACGAATTGCCGTTCGGGTGTCCGACTCGACGGCGGCACCGCAATAAAACGGTAACACCATTACATTACTATAATGCGATACACATCGTAGTACGATCACAGCGAGCGCACACAAACGGACCGCCGCCGACTGTGTACCTACGACGTCGCGGTATACAGGGTGGTTGACGATGGTACCACGTTTTCCCGGTGTACGACCATCGCGAATCGCAAAGACGCGCTGCAGCACGGGGGGGGGGGAGTCCCAAAACTTCAAAGTGTACCGACACGGTTTTCAAAGAAAGTCTTCACGTTGACCGGGTTGTACAGGAAATGTCGAGTACTATTATCACTCGCGAGACGGTACACGGGGGCATGGGATCGCGAAACGGTGGCAGACAGTACCCGTAAGACTCCGAGAGCCGATTGTTTATCATGACGATCGCGCCGAAATCGAAAACGCTCGAAAAGTTTCCGCGGGCTCGCCCGGCTGGGTTAGAATCCGAACCGAATCGGTGCGAGCGGCTGAGAAAAGAAACGATAGCCGTAGTGACGTTTTGTCTCGGACTGCCCCCAGCTGTTCGGTGGCCGGAGAGAACCGGGGTAATGGTTCACCCTGTATGACCGCTCCGATCGACCGATACGTTACATTACGTGTACGTGTGTGTATTATATATTATGCGATGCATTAAAAGCTATTATTTTACGACATCGTTTACTGGTCCTCTCAACAGCAGCAGCAGCAGCATTAATACACACACACTCCGGACGCGCGTATAAGTGCGTATTATATTATTCGGATAATATAATATAATATTTGAAATCGTCACGGTGTTACCGGTTTTTTTTTTCTCCTAATCCCGGCACGTTTTTAATCCAAACGGATTTCAACCTCGCCATAAATTTCCAGTCGACGAAATTTCGTCCATACCTAACATATACAACAACGATACACGTATATGGTACGCGTACACGTATAAGGAGTGTCAATATATTCATAAATATATCGTGTACAACACGTATGTATGTTGTACACTTGTACGCAGCAGACACTTTACGCGCGTTTGCCGTCGCCGTTTATGTGCGCGCGCGCGGACGCGATTTCTTCGACAGTAATCCCAGTCGATGATATTACTGTACGTTTATATTATGTTCTGGTGTGTACAGCGACGTTTGTAGACTCCGGAGACTACTATGTTATTATTATATTGTACTAGTTTTCGATTATTATTGTAATTACAACCGTACTGTATACACCACGCACTCTCTCGTCTCCTGTCCGTGTAATGTTAAATATTGTACTGCCGTCAAAAAAAAAACCGCGTTGCGCGCTTTACCGGGCGCCGACCCGCTGTAGTGATACGTGACACTGTTTTTGAATCAAATATTTTAACGACACCATCAGCCGTTGTACCGGTACTCGGGGAATTAATAAAATATAATACGTTAACATATACGAGTACGGCTCCATCGACTGCTCACTTAACCGAATCTCCTAATGCAGTATGTGGTTCTAGCGATCGACTACCGTTTTACAGAAGTCGACCGTTAAATGCTTCGAGGGATATAATATTTCAATATTTACACAAGTGCTCCGAGTCGTCATATCGTAAGGGCTACGGTTAATGTCGAACGGTGCAACAATTTATCTCGTCGGTGTTCGTTAAGAAAATCATCATACGAACATGTGCACATGTTCCATATCACTAATATTGAAAATCCCATAGCACTCGTTTCGTGGTCTTTAATACATAATCAATAACGCATACTGTAATAATTACAAACGTAATTACTCAAATTTCCACTCGATGCCCCGTTTCATGATATCCATTTTTAGTATGTGTCCGATATAGATATTTATTGGAGCCAACGGATAATATTTGTTAGGGTTTAAAATAATTTGCTTTAATCATCAGAGAACATTAATACGTTATCAATTGAAATCTGTCTACATGAAATGACCGGATTCAATATGTTAAATGAAATAATAGAATGAGAGGAAAAAGAAAAATTGTTATCTTTTTATTTAATAATAGGCATTATTAAAAATGGAACAATTGAAAAACAATATAAAATAAAATTATAATTTCTACGATAATGTGCATGAATTAAGTTTAGCTTCCTCACTAATTCATAAAGTATAGGAAAATATCAATATTCAATGTGTTTACAAAATTGGAGTGTTTATAAAAAAATTAAACACCATTTTGGTTTCTGCTATTATTAATTACTATAGTCCCACGATTGTAGATTAATTAATAAACTGTTAATTCGATTTTTTACTATATTAAA